AGTGCCCTAAACAAATCTCGGCTCAAATATTGCATATTCTTTCACTTTTTGCTCTTTTTCGCAATGCTAGCAAAATTGTCTGCAGACATTTTAGATCGTTTGGATATTTTCATTTTGGAAATTGAGGAATTACAAGTGCCGGCACCATTGTGGTGGGAATACATTTGGTGCACCTCGATATTGGTGTCATTCATTGGATTGTCAGCTGCCAAAGGCAATCGCGTCAATGATATGAAAAAATACATTATTGGTTTAATTGTTACCGCTTTACTGCCGCTTCTATATTGCGCAATTTACTATTTTTCGGACATTGTAGAGTACATGACCTTAGACGAACAGACTGACATTGAAGACACCAAGATTTTTGTGTGGAGGGTAAGATTTGTTTTTTTTTTTTTTTATCAATAACTCACTCGTCCTAATAATATTTCGAAATATATTTTTTTGTTCTCATTTAAGGGTAAACCATACGCATTGATCTGGTACGCATTTTTTTTGGTGGCCATACAAGTGCACGGCATGTCCATATTCTTTGCATGGAATTTAGTACAAGCCTGGCGATCACGAACCGCTTCACGAAAACTACAATAGACTCTTCAACGAAATATTAACTAACCTAAAACGCACTGCATAAAAAGAAAATTACTTAATTTATTTTGAATTGTGGAGTTTTGTTCAACAGAAATAAAAAAGAAAGTATTGTTTAAATCTTTTTCAATCAGTTGGTTGGCCTAAGAAAAATTTACGAAACAAATGTTGAAGAACATAAAATGTACTTAAAGTGGAGACGGCCATTCGAACCAATTCATTTGAAACTGCGGTGCTTTCAGTTTAAGTGGAGACACCGAATCAATTCTGTTTTCTTTTTAAATAAATTTACTCGTGAAAATTCAAATGCTGAATACATTGACAATATCATTCTTCAAGGCGCTATCCGTTTTCATGGATTCATTGGATACGTTGCCATGGAAATATTAGCAGAATTTTTTCTTGGGTGCATTACTATTGCCCCCAAATAAAATTTACTATTCCGGTATGATATCTTCATTTTTTCACTGTCCTAGCTGAGCTGCAGGGGATCTTATGTACTGGCGAAGCCTAATCACACGTCCCGCCTTCACATACATCATTGGGATGGCAATATTTTGTCAATATATGGTAAATTTGATTAATTTATTTCGCTATATTTTGTCTTATCCTACGGCAGTTCAATTATGTTGGAGGATACTGATTTGCCGTCCTTTCTTATACACAACTCCATTTTATTTGAATGGCTGGTCATGTCGTTTAGGTACTATTATTTATTTCATATTATTCCTTTAAACTTGCTTAGACAAAATTTAACAAATCTTGGATTTTATGACAAATCCGGAACAGAAAATAACACAAATAATAACCTTTTTAAAAAACGTTTTTTTAAGATCTCAAAGAAAATTTATTCCTTTGTTATGCTCCTGTTGAACATGTATAGTATCGAGTGAAAAATCCGCAATTTCCTGTTTAGTCGCTTTACGTTTACATATATAATTAATATACGAATATACGAAGGAAGTTACGAACGACGAATAGACCAATATGTATCAAGTGCTATATGCTTGTGGCGTTTTTTTCAGGCAATCAGTAAGAAGCTTTATTTACGTTGATAAGAACGGACAAAACAGTCCTGTTGTTATTTTAAGCTACAGGCTTTCATTCAAAATCAAGATTTCGATTGAATTAACGATTTTACCCTTCTTCAGAGCTACAAATAATACAACAAAAAGAAAATCATTTCAACCAGTTGGAAGCATCTCTTGTATTTGCTTTCAATTCTTCATCTTTGGGTTTGGATAATAGAGGTTCTACTGTACTGTATTTCAAACTTTGTTATTGACAAAATAACAGAACAATTTTAAATTTATTTAATCGATCACATAGGAATATTTTCGTAAAACAAATATAATTCCATTTGAATCATCGACGTGTAACGTCGGATAAAAGTGAGTTTAAATATCATGTCAGTTCACATTTAAATACATCTATTTTATACAGCAATAACTTATTTATTTTTTGAAGCTAGGAAAAGTCTGAAAAGCTAAAAATGATGGTAGTGCCAAGGATAAAATGGATTATTTTAGTATTTATGTTTATGGCTATATTAAGTTCACATTCAGCGCCTTCTACTTCAAATAGTAAAAAGAAAACACGCATTTTAAACATCGCAGTTATTGGAGCCGGTGCATCTGGTCTTGCGGCTACAAAGAGATCACTCGATGAAGGACATAATGTGACAGTTTATGAACAAGGCGAAGCTGTTGGAGGGATCTGGTTCTATACAGATAAAATCGGAAAAGACGAGTACGGTATTAATATTCACACTCCAATGTATCAGGGATTGAGGTAAGCTAAAACAAAAATAAAACTTCTGTTAAATCCGAGATGTAATGTATTCAACGTACAAACAGAACGAATTCACCATATCAAACAATGGAGTTTCCCGGATATTCTTATCCAAATAATACGCCATCGTATCCAACACAGAAACTGGTGTTAGAATACTTAAATTCTTATGCCGATTATTTCAAATTAAATGAGCATATAAAATGTCATCATCCAGTTATCAAGGTTTCTCCAGTTAAAAGCCCAAATATCCAGCGAACAAAGTGGATATTAACTTTGAGGGATTTGGCCAAAAACAAAACTGTCGAAAGTGAAGTATACGACGCTGTTTTTGTTTGCACAGGTGTAGCTTCGTCGCCAAACATTCCAAAAATTCCAGGGGACGACACATTCAATGGAAAAATTATTCATAGTCATGATTATCGTCGAGCTGACGCATTTAAAGGTATACCTTTATATATAATGCCAATTATTTTTGAATTGTAGATGCTTTGTTAAATGATAATCTATATCTATTTGAACGAACATGTTGAATGTGACAGGTGAAAATGTTTTGGTTATTGGTGGCGGAGCAAGTTCAAATGACATATTAGACCAATTGATCAATGTTGCTAATCAAGTAACATGCAGCCAACGTAGCGATCAAGATGGAATGTCAGAAGAAGACACAGAAACGTATGAGATTTCCTTAAAAACTACAGATGAACAAATTGTCACATATAAAGATGATGTAAAGTGCTTAACGCCAAATGGCGCAAAATTTATTGATGATACAGAACAAAATTTCACCGTTATTATTTACGCAACAGGTAGATTCTTGGATTTTATGTACCACAGAATTGAAGACTCTGAAGTTCTTTTTTTGAATAGGTTATAGGTATTCGTTTCCATTTTTGGGCGAAGAAATTGGTATCAGTATCGATGAAAACTGCGTGGAACCATTGTATAAACAAATTTTAAACATTAAGTATCCAACCATGGCTTTTATTGGAATACCGCAGGTAGCAGTCAACAATCGCATGTATGATTTGCAGGTAAATTTCATACACCTACCAAAGACACATACATCACACTAGACATTACTTCCCTTTTCGTTTTTGGATAAAACAGGCACATTTTGCATTGCAATTCATCTCTGGTGCAATTAAAATGCCGAAAGAAACCGAGATGATGGTGGATACAATAGTTCAAACTCAACACCATTTAAACCAAGGATTTCGCAAAAAAGAAATGCATATCTTAGGTCTGGAACACAAGAAATATTATAAAGTAATTGCGGAAACTCACGGTGGAATTAGCCAAATTGCCCAAGGAAGAACTCCGGAT